GAACCATCATTTTCCCTGGCAGGCAGTGGAGCCATTCAGATGGGCAAACAGCCATAGTGACACTGCCTCATGTGGGGCCTACCACTCCCACCAGCAGCCTGGTGGGTTACTGACACAGTGCAGGCCCCACCCACTGCAGCAGCTGAGCCCACTGGCAGGGCAGCCATAGTGTCACCACCTTATGTGACACCCACCTCTCTGACTGGCAGACAGAGAGTTACTGGGTTACTGGACCCCCTGTGCAGGTCCCGCCCATTGTGGCAGTTAAGTCCACCCCAGCTGAGGTATCCTGGGGAGAGCTTTACCTGGGTCCCATGGGGAAAATCCGTCAGCACCACATCTGTCCTGCTGGACAGGTAAGTGTCCCTTCTGCCCCCACCCCCATAGTATCAGGAGAACTAGGAAATAAAATAAAAGCCTTTGGCTAGACCACGTCCTTGTCACCCCTTCCCTGAGTGCTTTCTCTTCAGACTCCATTGTATTGTTCCATTAGTTATTTTATTTTCAGTCCTAAAATGTGTGCAGTCTTGCGTTTGGTTTTAACTTTGTTAATTGTTTGGGGGCAATTAAGGCAGGGTACTTGGTTGTGAGAGGTCCCCACTGTTTTCACTCTGGGATGCTAGAGTCATGTTGTTTGGTGACCCCAATTTGGTCTTGGATTGACTGTTGGCCACTCTCTGGGTGCCCCAGGGTTTTCAGCATTTGGTGAAGGGAAACTTTTTGGTTGAAACTTGGCTCTTCTGAGTTTTCAGCACTGGTATTTTGGCCACCCTCCAGATGCTCTGGGTTATTTGTGTTGATATTCCCTCTAGGATTCTGAGGGATATATGAGTTATAGCCCTCTCCCTAGGGGAGTATTGGTCTTGCCCTTTTCTGCCCTATAAGTTAGAAGTATTTTAATAGCAAGTTGCTAACCTCTTCCTGTGTGCTGTCTTCCAACTAGCTTGCTCAAGCCACTCTTGGTCAAAGGAATTGGGAGTTATCAGGCCCCTGGCATAATGGAGAACCACCTACAATGGTAGAAAATTGGCCATGTGAGTACTTTTTTCAGTGTCTCTGCTACTGGATAGGTTCTCCAGCAGGTTAGGGCCTCTGAGGTCTCCCCTTGGGCAACACTGTTTACCTCTTCCGTTTCTCCCTTCCACAGTCCCTCCCTTCCATTTGTTTAGCCCACCTCTCTACCAACCGTTGCTCTCTGTGGCATTTAGGTTCAAAATCCAACTGCCCATTTGAAGCTCATAATCCACTTAAGGATTAAAGCTCATAAGCCCTAAGGAACTTGACTCAAACCCTTAGAAACCTTAGCCACCATCACAGGTCAGGCATGAAAGGGAATTCAAGTCCTTAGACTCTGGCAAATGTAATTCTCTATAAGAGACTAGCGTTGAATTATTTACTAGCTGAACAAGGAGTCTGTGAAGTTATTAGTAAAACCTGCTGCACATATATTAACAAATCTGGACAAGTTGAGATTAACATTCAAAAGATCTGTGAGCAAGTTACCTGGTTACATAACCAGGGCACTGACTCCCAACTATATCTGGTCAACTATCAAAAGTACCTTCCGAGTCTCACCTGGTTTTTACGTCTCCTAGGACCTTTGATAGCTATCCCGTTACTATTCTTTGTCACTTCCTTGTTTAAACTCTTAGTAAAGTTTGCGTCTTCTGGATTACAAAACTTCCAGGTAAAGACAATGCTGGCAGAAGAATTCCAACCCATCCTGTCTACTGACCCAGATAATGAAAAAGTGTCCTGCCTCTGGGTCCCTTAGTTGAGTTACCCAGGTATTTTTACTCCTCCAGTGCTAGGCAGGGCCTATGCCCATAAGCTCAGCAGGCAACAGTGACAGAATACAGACCTCTGCCCTTCTACAGCACCCTTAAGATTAAGGAGGAATATGTAATCTCTGAGGAGAGGATGAGGTAGGAGGTGGAACTTCACTCCAGAGGCAGGGCTCAGACACTGGACCAGATTGAGGATTAGCTAAAACAAAGCCAGAGCAAAAGCAACTTTCCAGACATACCCACCAGTGTACCATATCTATTTACCACGGCCATGGCAACACCTGGGGGTTACCTCCCTTTCCATGGCAATGACCTGATGACTCAAAACTTACTACCCCTTACCTAAAAAGTTCTGCATGAATCACTAATCTGATATCAAAGGAAATCTGGCTGTGCATGTGTGTGCTCTTACTATGGGTATCTGATACCTTGGCATCAACACAGAAACCCAGGACTGGGAGCAGGGACACATGTGGCACAGGGGGAAAATATACTGACTTCTGTCACAGCCCAAAAGAGCAGGGCCTTATGGTGGCATGTGGTAAATGGGGCAGGTGACACCAACGGATTTAATGTGATTTTAAGCTGTGAACTGTGGAGAACTTTTTCCTATAGAAATAGTCATTATTGTGAAAATTCTGATTTAAATATTTCACCCATAAAAATAGTTGAACCATTACTTGGCTTAAAATATTTGAGTTAAACATTTTTGTTCCCATCATGACTTTGTGGCTTTCATTGGACCAACCCACCATTAACAGTAACAAAACTTAAATGAAATACATGAAACAGCTGCTTTAAGGCATGAGGGTAGCCTGTTCACACAGGATTTTCTGAGGTAGAATTCATGAGAAAGGGGAGAGTCAATGATGTATCACACTGGTTTTTCTTAAGCACTTGAAAATTAGCATGAAGGGAACATAAAGCCCCAGAAGAAAGACAGCCTACCTAGGTAGAAAAAAAATAAGCAGAAATTTTTGTTTTGTGCAAAATAGTGGGGCTTCTGCTTCTGGGTAGGATGCAGTGAATAAAGATGAAACAAATATAGGAAAAAAAAAAAAAAAAAAAAACGGATTCATTTAAATTGTAAGCTTTAAAGGCCAGAGAGGAAGACATAAGATTCCAAAAGTAAAAGAGCCTTTGTTAGGAGAAGTGAGAATATTAAATATTTACACACAGAACAGAAAGGTTCTTAAAGAAAAAAAAGCCCATGGCAACAAAAATCTCTATGTTACGACACTTGTACCTGATTCTGGGAGATATTCATGCAAATTTAACCACAATTATCCAGCACTGCCAATTTTTATTTAAATAGATTCATTTGTAATTAGTTCTATTTTTGCAATGTTAAATTTTGTAATATATTGCCTATAGTTATCAATACTATATTATATACTTTAAAATTTGCTACAGGTTGTTATGTAAGTGGTTTTATCATAAAGAAAACAATGAAAAACGAGGGAAGCAACCTTTGGAGAGGATGAATGTGGCAAAGATGGTGGTGATGGCTTCATGGGCTTATCCTTATCTCTAAACTTATTAAGTTGTATACATTAAATAACAGCTTTTGTCAATTCACTTTGATAAAGTGGTTTAAAAACAAAAAGGCAAATTTATGCACCATAAGACTGTACTTTTAAAGTGAGTCTTTCATAATCCATGTTTGATTTAATCATTACCATGTACATATATACCATTAATATAGTTAGGACATATAATTTTGTGTTCTACGTATATTAGTTCCATTGAATGTCACTGTCTTTTTGTTTTGAGCCAGAGTTGCACTTTTTTGCCCAGGCTGGAGTGCAGTAGCATGATCTTGGCTCACTGTAACCTCCGCCTCCTGGGTTCAAGTGATTCTCCTGCCTCAGCCTCCTGAATAGCTAGGACTACAGGCATACACCATCATGCCCAACTAATTTTGTATTTTTAGTAGACATGGGGTTTCACCATGTTGGCCAGGCTGGTGTCGAACTCCTGACCTCAAGTGATCCATCCATATCAGCCTCCCAAAGTGCTGGGATTACAGGTGTGACCCACCATGCCCGTCCCCATTTTCTAACTGACCCAAATCTATGTGTTTAAAACTGAATTAAAAACATAGAGTTTGGGCTGGGCACGGTGGCTCATGCCTGTAATCCCAGCACTTTGGGAGGCCGAGGCAGGCAGATCACAAGGTCAGGAGATTCAGACCATTCTGGCTAATACAGTGAAACCCCATCTCTACTAAAAATACAAAAAATTAGCCGGGTGTGGTGGCGGGTGCCTGTAGTCCCAGCTACTTGGGAGGCTGAGGCAGAAGAATGGCGTGAACCCAGGAGGTGGAGCTTGCAGTGAGCCGAGATCATGCCACTGCACTCCAGCCTGGGCGACAGAGCGAGACTGTTTAAAAAACAAACGAACAACAACAAAAAAAAATTGGAGTTTAATCAACCTATTATTCAGCAACGACATTTAATGCTTGCATTTTTGACAGTACTAATTTAATCTTATTACTTCTTACACAATTCTGCATTCAATATTCCCAGGTTATTTCAGAATTGTACATTTCATCCCACATATTTTAAGTAGAAAGTCTGCTCAAAACCATAATTTTTTTTCTCAAGCATGTGCTTGATGGCTTTATGTCTTGTCCCCCAGCTATACATCTCAATGGCTTTTTAGAGTTTTCTTCCCTGTCTTTTTTGACAGGAAAGCTGCCTGAAGGTTCTTCTACTATCATGTCAAGATTGTTTTCTCAGTGGAAAAATGCTGGTATTGACTAAGGCATGAGTAATTTACTGAGGACTGCCCTCCATTCATGTCACTGAGCGTTCTACACCATGTGAATTCTGATCTATTATAGAAGTGCTGCTGTATTAAGAAAAGGATTTCTCACTGAATAATTTCTCTACTATGAATTTCTGGAATTGTGCAAGAGGCCTCATCCACCTAATAAAAATATTTTCACAAATTTCCTGTTTTTATCAGTTATCTGATAATGAATTTTCTTGCAGACACCAAAACTGGTGCTTAGCTGAATGACAGTGCACAGCAATTACAGACATATGGTTGCTCGCCTGTCGATTTTACTCATTTGTTTAAAAGATGGCATTTTCACATTGACGACAGGTACAGAATTTTTGTGATGTGATTTCTCCTGTTTGTTTAACAGTTAGAGCTTTGGATGAAGACTCCTCCACATTCCTTTGATCTATAGTTTCATTCTCTCATAGTTTGTGCCATACAGCTTAAATATATATGGATTCTCCCTACTTTGGATTCATTTAGGTTGAGCAAAGTGGTGATTACAAATAAAGGCTTTTCCACACTGATTACAGACATAATGTTCCTGTAGTATGTCAGTCCTTGGGTGTATTTAGTGTTAACGCTATGGTTGATGACTCTTACATATTCATTACTTTTTTAGTGTGAGTTCTCTCATGTTGTCTAAGGTTAAAAAATTTACTAAAGGCTTTTCCACATAGAGGACATACATATGGTTTCTCTCCAGTGTGAACTCTTTTATGAAGTCTAAAGTTATAACTTCTATTGAAGGCTTTACCACATATATTGCATTCATATGGTTTCTCTCCCGTGTGAGTTCTCTCATGTCGTCTAAGGACAGAAGAGTGATTGAAGGCCTTTCCACATAGGTGGCATTCATATGGTTTTTCTCCAGTGTGAGTTCTCTCATGTCGTCTAAGGTCAGAAGATTCAGTGAAGGCTTTCCCACATACATGACACTCATATGGTTTCTCCCCAGTGTGAATTCTCTCATGTCGTTTAAGCACAGAAGATTCAGTGAAGGCTTTCCCACATAGATGACACCCATGTGGTTTCTCTCCATTGTGACTTCGCTCATGTTGTCTAAGGTGAGAACAATGAGAGAAGGCTTTTCCACATAGATGACATTCATATGGTTTCTCTCCATTGTGAGTTCTTTCATGTTGTCTAAGGTAAGAACATTTACTGAAAGCCTTCCCACATAGATGGCATCCATATGGTTTATCTCCTAAGTGAGTTCGCTCATGTTTTCTAAGGTCAGAGCAATGAGTGAAGGCTTTCCCACATAGATGGCATACCTGTGCTTTCTCTCTAGTGTGAATCATCTCATGTCGTCTAAGGTTAGAACTTTTACTGAAGGCTTTCCCACATAGATGACATCCATATGGCTTCTCTCCAGTGTGAGTTCTCTCATGTTTTCGAAGATCAGAGCAATGAGTAAAGGCTTTCCCACATAGATGACATCCGTGTGGTTTCTCTCCAGTGTGAATCATCTCATGTCGCCTAAGATTAGAATTTTTGCTGAAGGTTTTCCCACACACATGACATTCCAATGTTATCACTCTAGTGTGAGTCACATTGTGTGGTCTAAGGGCAGAGTTTTGGATAAAGGCATAATCAAATAGATGACCTTCATCTGATTTACATCTGGTGTGAATTTCCTTGTGTTGATTAAAGGATAACCAGTCACTGAAGGTTTTTCCAAACTTTTTGCTTACAAAGTGTTTCTTTCTCATGTAAGTAATCACATTTTGAGTCAATGCTGTATGTTCAGTGACATCTTCTCCTAAATCATTACATAGAAAAGGATCCTCTTGAGTATGAGATCTCTGGTTTTTGGAAAGAAATGAAAGACTATTAAAGGTTTATCCACACTCATTCATTCATTACTTCATTCATTTCTCTACATACTAATTCTAGAGTAATCATTCAGTAGTAGATTCCAGTTACAATTGTTCCTGTATCAGTTATATAAACATGGTGCATTATCTAACTGCATGTAGAGAGTTTTTCTGTTGTAGCATCCCAACTGAAGAGCTTTCTGACTAGTATCAAGACTTTATCCTGTTTGAAAGTTTCAGCACATAGTAAAATTTATACAATTGTCCTGTTATAAGGCCTCATGTTATGGTTTTGATTTGAAGTTAATGTCTTCACTACATCCAAACTAACTAAAACTCTTCTGGGAGGGCTTTAAGTACAGTCAGGTACCTGTACCAAATTCCAAAGTTGTTCAGTGTCCAGGTTTCTATATGGAAGAACAGGGTTCGCATCCATAAAGCTTACCTACCATTGTGCTGATGGTGGATGTGCCCTTCTGATAGGTATGTTGAATGAATGGTATCTCTTGATGTTTAATGTCACCTTCTCTACCTGAAATAAATTTTTAAAAAAAAGATGCTATACAGGCATTAGGGGAATAAAAATGTTAAATAGCTACAATGCCTATTTGAGTGTGTTTCAAATACACACAGACAGGGAAGGCATGTTAAATTAATGATACTTTAAGAAGAAGAGTATTATAGGAAATTGACTACTGACATTTTCAGCATATAAAAAAATAAAGAAGGCAAGTTAAGGAAGTAAAGGAAAGAAAAATTTTCAAAGAAGAGGACCATTATAAAGGGCTACTATGTAATAGTTTAACTCAAATAAGTACACAAATATCCCCTTTACAAAAGCCAAAGACAATGACAGAGATATACTTGAATAAAAATTGACACCTACAAAGTATAATGTCAATATCTGAGAAATGTTTCCCTCAGGCTTTTGCCTACATTTCAGAAACACTGCAAATTTAAGAAACCTTCCAGCTGGGCGTGGTAGCTCATGCCTGTAATCCCAGCACTCTGGGAGGCCGAGGTGGATGGATTTCCTGAGGTCAGGAGTTTGAGACCAGCCTGGCCAACATGTTGAAACCCTGTCTCTACTAAAAATAGAAAACAATTAGCTGGGCATGGTGGTGTACACCTGTAGTACTAGCTACTCAGGAGGCTGAGGCAGGAGAATCACTTGAATCTGGGAGGCAGAGGTTGCAGTGAGCCGAGATCGTGCCACTGCACTCCAGTCTGGGTGACAGAACAAGATTCTGTCTAAAAAAAAGGAAAAAAGAAATCTTCCTTTGGCAACTGTTGGGGCCTACTCACTCACTGGCCATGTTTCTCCTCCTCCTATTGAGCACTGCTTCTTAGAGCTCACCTTGCAGTAAGCTCATTCCTTGTGTTGAAAGTTTCTCTACATGCTGCAAATGAGAAAGCACAACTGATTTGCAGAGCTGTTTGCCTGTTTTTGGGAAAAAGATACATGGATTTTGAGTTCTGTGCTGACAAATGTACAAGGTTATCAGGTACAGGGTAGGCTACTGGGAAGGATAAGTTAGCCACTGAAGGTCAGCCTGGGAAGATTACCTTGAAGACAACACTGACAGTCCTTTATGAGCAAAAGGAAAACTCTTGAACTTGTTCCCAGACATAAAAGACCAATAATTGCTGATGGTCATGCCTCACTTCAAATACTGATTGCAGAATCCTCAGTATTTTCACTTATTGCAGTGAAAATCCTCAGTATTTTCACTCAGTATTTTCCCTGTATTTTCTCACAGTGAGAAATTACAAGTTGTCATAGTGTTTGACATTATATTAAAAAATAATGCAATAAATACTAGCTCCACCAGAACAATCTAGGTTCTGTGCAGAACAGTCCCTATGATAGAACAATTACTTTAAAGAAATCAATACATTTATTTATGCATTCAAAAGCAGTGAATTTTCATAACTTTTCTGAGTTTGGGAGATTGAAGAGCAAGAAGGATGTGAAATTGTGGTCAAAAAGATGACATTCTAGAGAGAGGACAAATCAATATAAGTGAAAAGGAAATAAATGGCTGTCAGGTAATTGTGAGAGTTATGAAAGGATCAAGGCAGAGGTTGAAGTGACAGATGAGAAAGCTGTTCTAGAAACATGTAGAATGAATGAATGAATCAGTGAAAAACAGGTGAGTGAATGAATACATATATACATACATACATAATAAATATAAAGAGACTCACCAATAGAGACCAGATGACTGATGTTCTCCAACATCACATCTTGAAACAGCTTTCTCTGGGATGTGTCCAGCAGGGCCCACTCTTCCCGAGTGAAGTCTACAACTATATCCTCGAAGGTCATGGAATCCTAAAACATTATGGACATTCTACTGCAAACAGGGCTATCTCTGCCAATGTTCAGTGGAGCAAGATAAAGTGACTGTCCTAAGGAAGTGTGGGTGGTATGAAAGAAAACTCAAACAGTGTTTGGGGTTCCTGTCACATCCCTTTAAATCTGAACTGGGAATCTGGCTTTCAGATACACTAAAGACATAAAACCTCACATAGAGAAATATCACATGATATAACCTGAAGATTTCCCAATAGACTTCTAAGTATAACTTCCAGATACTAATTATGAAATCTTGACTTGTAAATTTAGAACTAAAATCCTCCTCTCCACCACCTTCAAGAAAATCCATAAGCCAGGCACGGTGGCTCACGCCTGTAATCCCAGCACTTTGGGAGGTGGAGGCGGGCGGATCACGAGGTCAGGAGATCGAGACCATCCTGGCTAACATGGTGAAACCCCGTCTCTACTAAAAATACAAAAAAATCAGCTGGGTGAGGTGGTGGGCGCCTGTAGTCCCAGCTACTCAGGAGGCTGAGCCAGGAGAATGGCGTGAACCCATGCTGCCTTCTGCCTGGGGCTCCGTGACGCGTGACAGAGCGGGACTCCATCTCAAAAAAAAAAAAAAAAAGAAAAAAAAAGAAAATCCGTAGACTCACTACAAGGGAGGCAGTATCCACAATTTGTCACATTTTAATCAATACTTTAATTAGATATTCCACTACAGCACCTCAGTGTCCTCATGAATAAAGACCTGTTATGAGTTCAAAAAGATCCAGTGAGATAATATGTAAAGTGGTTCCTATCTATCATTTTTTAGATACAAGCCACAAATACATTATTCATGAAATGACTGAGAACACTCAGTTGAGTGAACAACTTTCATACAGAACTTGGTAGCAGCAGATGCAGCCTCTTATCTCTACACAACTCAGGTATTCACTGTTAATGGATAAGGATGAATGGCTCAGCAGCACAAGCCAGGGGCTCTAAGACTTCAGTACTGAAAGATGGTCTCATCCTGCCACTTCCCATGGTCTGAGGACTTCCTTTCTCAGTTTTATCTGGGACCTCCAAACACCAGGTGACATCGTTTGGCTCTGCAACCCCACCCAAATCTCATCTTGAATTGTAATCCCCACATGTTGGGGGAGGGGCCTGGTGGGAGGTGATTGAATAATGGGGGTGAACTTCCCCTTGCTGTTCTCATGCTAGTAAGATCTCAGAAGTTCTGCTGATTTAACAGTGTGTGGCATTTTCTGATTTGGTATCTCTCTCCTGCTGCCTTATGAAGAAGGTGCTTGCTTCCCCTTCCGCCATGATTGTAAGTTTCTGGAGGCCTCCCAGTCATGCTTCCTGTTAAGCCTGCAGAACTGTCAGTCAGTTAAACTTCTTTTCTTCATGAATTACCCACTCTCGGGTAGTTCTTTATAGTGGTGTGAAAACCGACTATTATGCACTAGGTACGATTCTCTTTTGTTTCTTCATGTTGTCTCTAGATTTAGGGATTTAAAAAAATCCTTTGATTATCCTGGTCTCTCCACTTCAAAAATTTCCTTAGAGTTTTAAATTTACTCTGTTTCCTATACTCCATCACTTAATGCACAACCAAAATTAAAGAAACAACACTTCAGTTGCTTCCAGTTATCAAGTTTGATCAGAGGTTCATTTGGGGACAAGGGTAATAAGAATTTTAATTTTGTTTTCTAAGTTTTCAAAAGCACACATTTATTCTCTCAAGACATTAAGATTTTGAGAAAGGAAAAATAAATGAATAATTCCTCATTGTCTCCTCTGTCCTAATCCTATCTGCTTTCCCTTCATGTTAAACAGCCCTCCCCTAACACCTGAAACACTAGACTAACTGAGCTTGCCTGGGAAAACATCTGCCTTTGTAAGGGCTATAATCTTCTGCTCTCACTTATTTTCACTGCCTATCCGCATATACTCCCAAGCCCACTCCTGCCAATAACATGGGTAATGAGTGAATTTATTTCCCCAACAAGGCCATGAGAGGCTGGTAATGAATGAATGATTTCCCCGAGACTGGATGAGAGGAACAAAATCCTCTCACGTCTTTTCTGAGAATACGCAGCCTTAGTAGAGGCTGGAATGAGTGTACTGTTGAAAGGAGATTACTTCTTGATGACTCTTTGAGCCAATGTAACCATTCCAAGCCCTGGGAAATCTTAATTGGAGCTTGGATCCTTGAATGCACTTAGAACATCTATGTTAAAAGGATGAATCTGCCCTTAGGCTGGTAGCAGGGGTACAAATTTCAGTAGAAAGACGAATTTCCCACTCACCAGTGATGGCATTGTACTAGCTCAGCCACCAAATGTATTCCTCTGGGTTTTCACTCACACCATCCAAGCACTAAGAAGACAATTCTGAGAAAAACAAAAAACAAAACAAAATAAAACAAAAAAACCATGACACTCCAGTTTTGCTTCTAACATCTGTCCCAAAGCCATTAGCCCCAGTCCAACCAACAAGCACATGCAGTGGGTGGGGGATGGGTTGGGTTGGTGGTTCTCCTCTTCCAGGGTCAGAAGAAGAGAATGACTGTTGTTGCTAATAAATATATAAATATTTTGATTTTAGACCCAGAAATGTGAAAATCATGGAGTTTCATATGCTACCTAGCCCATGGAATTCTGAAATGTTCAATTCCCTCTATGATTCCAAATTCTAAGAATCCCTGAATCATGCAGATGTGGTCTCCACCTACAGATAAATCCTGGAATTTCTCAGATTTAATTATTCTTGGTTTGTGTGCTTGCAGGCTTTCTCCGTGCATCTCAGCCCTCACGAGCCTCCCTCCATTCCTTCTCCCTTCCGCTGGTCCTCTGTATACACTTCTACTGAATGGTTCTGTCTCTTCCTCGTGAGGCTTCTAGAACTACCACTCCCTGAAGTCTGACCTTTAGATAAATTCAGCATGAATTTATCTACCAAGCAGCTTCAAATTTCGTTTTATGATGGTGGATACCTTAAAAGACACACTTTACAAGTGACATACCTTATAAGAAATGCTAAAGGGAGCTCCTCAAGTTGAAATGAAAGGACACTAACAACATGAATATATGAACATGTATGTGACATTGTTATTTATAAGAAATAGTTTGGTTTTCATCCCCAGTTCCTGGCACACAGCCCCCCAAACGCTTGTGATTTCCTAAGTAATAAAGTTGCTAGGAGAAGCTTTTGTTCTTTTTGGTCCTTGACCCTGGTTCCCAATACAGAGCTCGTAATGCATTGGAACTTCATAGGTGATAGGAGTGTCTTTTGTTCTAACAAAACAATTATTATTGGGCTATAGGATAGGGGGTGATTACCTGAAAGACCAAGACATGATTATAAGCTTGGAACATACAGTCCCACCCCCTATCCTCTGGTAAAGGGCAGAGGCTGGAGATCGAGTTGATAACAATTATGCCTACTAGATGAACACTTTGTAAAAATCCCTAAATGATGGGATTCAAAGAGCTTCTGGATGAGTGAAGAGCCATCCACATGCTGAAAGAATGGTACATCCCAACTGCTTGGAGACAGACCTCCTGAAACTAAGACCCTTCCAAAACTTGCTGTATGTAACTCTTTAGCTGGCTGTTCATTTATAATATTTAAAATGTCCTTTGTAATAAATCAGCTAAGTAAACTGTCTTCCTGGGTTCTGTGAGCTACTAAACCCTAGCAAATCTAACATAAAAAGGAGTTCTTGCCGGGCATGGTGGCTCATGCCTGTAATCCCAGCACTTTGGGAGGCCAAGGCGGGAGGATCACCTGAGGTCAGAAGTTCAAAACCAGCCTGGCCAACATGGTGAAACCCCCTCTCTACTAAAAATATAAAAGTTAGCTGAGCGTGGTGGCAGGCACCTGTAATCCCAGCTATTTGGGAAGCTGAGGTACAAGAATCGTTTGAAACTGGGAGGTGGAGGGTGCAGCGAGCCGAGATCACACCACTGCACTCCAGTCTGGGTGACAGAGCAAGAGTCTGCCTTGCGGGGGGTGGCGGGGAAGGAGTTCTTAGGAACCTCCAATTTTTAGCTAAGTCAGACAGAGGTTCTTCACTTTTTCAAAGATTCTTTTTCTTTTTGCTTTTCTGATTGAATAATTTCAAATAACCAGTCTTTGAGTTCACTGGTTATTCCTGCTGCTTGATCAAGTCAGCTCTTGAAACCCTGTATTGATCTAGTTCAGTTACTGTGTTCTTCAGTCCCAGAATCTACATTTCTTTTATTATGGTTTCTCTTTGTTGATATACTCATGTTGTTCATGTATTCTTTTCCAGATTTTACTTGTCTATCAGTGTTGTCTCACAGCTCATTGAGCTCCTTTAAGGCAATTTATCTTTAATTCTTATCAGGAAATTCAGAAACCTCCATTTCTTTTACTTTTTTTTTTTTTAGCGGAGTTTCACTCTTGTTGTCCAGGCTGTAGTGCAATAGCACAATACCAGCTCACTGCAACCTCCATCTCCTGGGTTCAAGCAATTCTCCTGCTTCAACCTCCTGAGTAGCTGGGATTACAGGTGCCCATCACCATGCCCAGCTAATTTTTTTTCTTGTATTTTTAGTGGAGCTGGGGTTTCACCATGTTGGCAAAGCTGATTTTGAACTCCTGGCCTCAAGTGATCTGCCTACCTCGTCCTCCCAAAGTGCTTTGATTACAAGTGTGCACTGCACCCAGCCAAAAACCTGTATTTCTTTATGGTCAATTATTGTAGATTTATTTTGTTCCTTCAGTAGGGTCACAGCTCCTTGATTTTTCAAGGTTGTGCAATATCTCCCAGTCTCACAGAGCTGTGCCAGTTGCCATAAGATGCCCTGTATTTCTCCTTAGAGCTGTGCTCTGATAGCCTGGGACACTAAATGCATACTTCATTACTCTCCTTTCCTCCACTAGTCTCACATATTCTCCTGGGGGAGAAGTCTAAGGGGTCTGTGCCTTCTACCAGTCTCACAGAACCATGGGGGTCACCATAAACCTCCATACAAGCCTCCTCAAAATTCTCTACTTTGGCTTAGGAGTATGGGAGTCACAGTGCAGACAATGGAGGTATAAGAAAGACATCCAAGACCCCTGTGAGCTTCTAAATCTCTACAGGCATCAGTAAAGGTGGGTGCTAGACTGTAAGGCATGGCCATCCTCATGGGCAATCTCAGGACTCTCTAAGTCCTCCAAGGAGCCCAGCAATGGCTTATGTGGGCCTGGGCCACCCCTGCCAGCAGGGAGTAGTACTAAGGATGAGATCCACCAATGGCCACAGCTGAGTTATGCCAAATGAGATGTCCAGACCTCACAGTGCCTAGGAGGACAGATGGCAGAAGCTCAGCCAGGCCACGGAGATTAAAACAGTGCTAGGGGCTTAATGTATGTTTTTAGTGGGTCTGCCACATGTCGAGTTTGGATCTGGAGTCCAGCCTATAATCCTAGCAAAAATTAAACACCAAATATGATATTCAAAAAAGTGTATGTGGCTGAAAACATATGTTGGAAATACACATAACTAGGAACATCTAGATTCAAAGAGAAATTGCTAATTCCATAAATATGACAGAGGAATTTAATAACAAGATCACACTTACATAAATAATAAATATAAACTCTATTTTTCTGAGTTCTAAAGACTTTGTTTTTTCCATCTCAGTACACTAGTGGGTATATGTCCCCAGTAAAATCAAAGGAGTATTCCAATTACATTCATGATATTAGTAAGTATGATAAATAAAAGTAGCCAGAACCAGAGAATTGGGGCTACAGCTATGATCTTCAAGGAACGTAAAACTTTAAAAACACTCATAAACCAAGATAAAGAAAAATAAAACAGGAGTTAGTTACTTGACTTTCCAAATTGTTACAAATGCAGTACATATTAATAAAAGTTAAAAAGTTAAAAGAATTTAATAAATAGTAAAATAATGTAATGAATGAACAGATTTGACAGAAATCAATTAAAAAGTTTTGAGAGCAAGATCACGAAACTGAAAAGATCCACGGTGGAAAGAAAAAACACAGGTAAATAAAAGAGACTGTATTTATTTAAAAGTAGTAATTTAAAATCTAAGAAATCAGAACAATTGTATTCTAACATGAATATATGATACATTGATTAATTTCCATGAAAATAGAGTTAAAACTTTCCCTCAGTAATCAGCAGAAAAATCTGACAGCTAATTTTAATATTTAAGTTATACATCAGAGTTTAACTGTAAAAGTGACTTGTGAGAGTTATCACATGTCAAATCACTTCTACCTCCTTTGTAATGTAAATGCTTTTGAAGGAGAAAAATAAGCCTGTCCTCATTAGTTTATTATGCTAATCAAAATGAACATAAATGCAACAATAACTAGAATTTTAACCAACAATTTTCATTAATTATATTTGCAAAAATCATTAATACACTTTTAGCCATTTGGCTATTTATTTTGGTCACCTGGCCATCACTGGTATGGTTAAATAATGCTAGAGCATTGTAAAGTGGAGTTAATTGCAATAATAAAAGGATAATTCTATACTAGAAAACGTATTACTTTCACATAGTAATTTTAAAGATTAAAAACAACCACATCAACCAACGTTTGAAAAAACATTTTCAAATAATTTAAATCTTTAAAAATAATTTAAAATCTTTAAAAATCATATCAAATTGTGGGGACTAATTATTCTTAATCAATAAAATCTCAACTATATATTCAAGAGTTAACAAAAGGACCATTTCCACTAAAGGTAAGGCTGGAATAAGGAGGCTGGCTGGGGCTGATGCCATTCACCACTGCACATGATGCCTGAGGTGGGACCAAAACAAGAGGGAAAAGGAGAGGGACTACAAAAATGGAGTCAAAGACATGAAACTGTAGTTATTCTCAGATGATGTGACTGTAAACTTGAAAAAGTAGTCTAATTATCAATACTAATAAGAACATTTAAAAAGTGGGCAAAACTATTCTGAATACGCTGAAATCAGTATTTCCTGTTTAGTAACATTAATCTTTAAACAAAGCAAACACACAAAATCAGTCTCTATTTACAATAGCAAAATATTATGAGGAACATTTGAAATAAATTTGTAGGCCCATGTAAAGAAATTTTAAAACTTAATGAGGACATTAAAATGACATGAATAAAGCCTGAAAATAATATTATTAGATTGGAGGTCACAGTGACATAAAACCCCAGAGACTGCAGACTCAGGGCAACCTAGACTTAAAAGTCACATGTAGTCTTTCACATGTAAAAAATGAGAATTAGTCTAAAAGCCAATTTTGTCTAAATTTTGATTTTTGGTGAGGCTATGGTCAAAATAGTTGTGAAAAGAAAAAAATAAAGATGTCAAATTTCATGTAAATCTATGTTATTTGGAAATTTAAAATAAATCATATAAATATTCATAATATTAAACAATATCATAAGTAGACTCAATAAAACATAATATTTTATCATATAAAATAGGTCCTGCCTTCCTGAGGAAAACATAAAATCAAAGGGCATGAAGGAAGGATTTTGGTTTCGCTGCAGAAACATAATAAGACACCTAAGTGTATTTGTGTGTGTGTACATACAATTAAACTACAAAATATAAAATAGC